TCCTTTTTTTTTTTTTTTTTTTTTTTTTTTTTTTTTTTTTTTTTTTTTTTTTTTTTTTTTTTTGTAGCGGCTCCGCTCAGAACAATGGAACGGCAAGTACTGCTCATCTCGGCCCTCTGCTTAGGTTATGTGCTCGGTCAGGTCAGTTATTCAATTCCCGAGGAAATGCCGCGGGGCTCTCTGGTCGGAAACATAGCGCAGGATTTGGGTTTAGATGTAAAACGTCTGAGATCCGGGAAAGCTCGCCTTTACACGGGAGACAGCGCGCAGTTCATCGAGMTGAGCAGGGACAGAGGAGTCCTCCTCATAAAGGAGAAAATAGACCGCGAAGCGCTCTGTGGGCAGACAACACCTTGCGCGCTGCATTTCCAGATCACATTAGAAAATCCSCTGGAGCTGTTTCCTGTCACCGTCGAAATTACTGACGTTAATGACAACGCCCCAGTTTTCCAAAAGGAGGAGAGGATTTTTGAAATAAGCGAGTCTGCAGCGATCGGATCTAAATTTATGCTGGAGAAAGCATTTGATCTCGATATTGGACTGAATGGTCTTCAGAAATATACCCTGAAACCGAGTGATAATTTTATGCTTAAATCTCACTCTGAGTCTGATGGAAGCAAAAAGGTGGAAATGATTTTACAAAAACCTCTAGACAGAGAGAAACAACAACACATATCTTTAGTTCTGATTGCGGAGGATGGAGGAGAGCCGCAGATGACAGGAACTATGGTGATCCAGGTTACTGTACTGGATGTAAACGATAATGCACCTGTTTTTAGTCAAAACGTTTATAAAGCCAGCATTACAGAAAATTCAAACAAAGGAACGCTTGTTACCAAGGTGACTGCTTCAGATGCAGACAGTGGCACAAATGCAAAGGTGTCATATGTAATAGGAAACAGTATGGACACAGTTGCAAAAATATTTCACGTTAATAACAAAGGTGATGTAATCCTGAATGGGCCTAYAGATTATGAAAACAAGAAAAGTTTTAACCTGGATATAGAAGCAATAGATCTAGGAGGACTTTCAGATTCATGTAAAATAATCATTGATGTAATAGATGTAAATGATAATAGCCCAGCTATAAACATGATTTCAGCATCAAGCTCAATACCAGAAAATGCAGCCCTTAAAACGGTTGTAGCGTTAATAAGTGTGAATGACCCAGATTCTGAAAACAATGGAAAAGTCAATTGTTTCATAAGTGAAAATATACCTTTTGAAATTAAATTTACATCCAATAATTTCTATAGTTTAGTGACAGACAGTGAGTTGGACAGAGAGAGAGCCTCTGAGTATAATATCACAGTGAGCTGCTCTGATGAAGGAGTGCCCTCCCTCTCCAGCAGCGTCACTCTCACCTT